ATGATGTCAATATTAAGGCAAAAATGCTGAAACTGAGGAATTTTAGCCTTTGATACAGAAGGATTACAGCCTGCAAACAGGATAAAGAGTTCCTAGTCTTATTTTGAAAGCTTTAATTGACTTCAGCAGTAGCAGATTCTGGCTCTAAATGCATTTGGATTGTGTGCACACCACAAGAAATGTTCAATATTGTGTGCAGCAAAGTTAAGAATCAGCATGTGCCCTTCTTTTAAATGAAAATGGAATTTTCTTAGAAAACAAGAACCAGACTCTGTCTGCAGTTTCACTGGTGGGATGAGCTGCAATACAGGCTCCAGGCCTTAGAGCCGCCAAAAGTTCTGTCACTCCAAACCAGGTCTGTCCACTAGCACAAATTTCTATCTTTCCTCTCTTTTATATACATGCACATATTTATATTTATATTTATATTTATATTTATATTTATATTTATATTTATTATGAAAAAGCATGGAAGTTTGTAAGAATACATGGGGGGGATCAGTTAGCCACTAGAAAAGATTATAATTTGTCTTCAGCTTTACAGGAGCTGAGTGGTAGAGTTCTCAGAAACATTTGCAATGGTCAGGAAATAATGTAAAAATAGAGAGCACTGATGAACTTGCAGTCATGGGATAACCCTCCCCCAGCCTGCCTGGTCGCTGGTACACAGGAATGAATGCAAATGGGTGCGTGTGTGTTTAAACTTGTCTATTCCACTTATGTCTAGTGAATTAATTGATGAAAAAAATCCCTACCAATTTTATTGTTTCATATTGGTGGCTGACTCAGTTAATTTACTTTTTGTTGGTATTTAATGATTTAGGATGGTTGTTAATATTGTTTCATTATTACTAAGCAGTTCAGAGTCTGGGCTCAGTCTGGGCTTTTATTAATTATTGTTAAATTTAAAGAAATAAACCACATTGCAATGTGGGAAATGAGGAAAAGGCAGATGTATGAGACAGCATTATCAGTATGTGCTATACCCCCTGCAGCAAGGATTTCTGTCTCTTTCTGCTCATTTATTGTGTATTTATTTGCCTTTTCATTTTCCCATGATGATGTCAATATTAAGGCAAAAATGCTGAAACTGAGGAATTTTAGCCTTTGATACAGAAGGATTACAGCCTGCAAACAGGATAAAGAGTTCCTAGTCTTATTTTGAAAGCTTTAATTGACTTCAGCAGTAGCAGATTCTGGCTCTAAATGCATTTGGATTGTGTGCACACCACAAGAAATGTTCAATATTGTGTGCAGCAAAGTTAAGAATCAGCATGTGCCCTTCTTTTAAATGAAAATGGAATTTTCTTAGAAAACAAGAACCAGACTCTGTCTGCAGTTTCACTGGTGGGATGAGCTGCAATACAGGCTCCAGGCCTTAGAGCCGCCAAAAGTTCTGTCACTCCAAACCAGGTCTGTCCACTAGCACAAATTTCTATCTTTCCTCTCTTTTATATACATGCACATATTTATATTTATATTTATATTTATATTTATATTTATATTTATATTTATTTAGTGTTTTACAGAGGCTCACTTGAAATGGGTGCTAAATGAAGTCTAAAATCTAAGGTTAGGGACTTTATCTTGAAGGCCATATGGATTGTTTCCATGTTTTTTGTTTTGGTTTTTCTCGTTGTTATGGTATTTGCTCCACACACACCTGACTGTTTTCTCCCTCTGTGGAATGTTTCCTTCAGTATGCTGGAAATCATGAGTCACAGGTTAATTGATTTGGAAAGGTTAAGGAGAGCAACTTCGTGGGCTCATCAGCCCGACCCCTGGGGTGATGGTTTGGGCACAGTGCCCCAGGTCTCTCAGGCTGGTGGGTTCTCAGCTGCAGTGATAGAAACCAAACAGCATCTCCTCCCTACAGCAGAGGATGTCTCTGTCATACTAGTCATCCCCAGAGGTCTTAATAATGTATCATCTGGTGCTATCTGAACATAAGAACGTTTCTTGTGTCTCGTGTCAGCTAGGGCTGCTGTGGGGGTGGACCATCTGATGCTCTGGGTGCTGAGGAGGTGGCTGGCTGCATGTATGGGTTCTGCCTCCATCTCTGGTTAGTCCATTCCTGAGGTCAGGTGTGATTCCTGTAAACTGTCTGAGCACCAGTGATTGCAGAACCAGTGTACATGAGTAAATGAAAAAGGTTATGCTTGCTGAAACTTCCTAAACTGTGCTGCTGCTAATTTTATTTTTTTTTCTGCTTCCCCCACCCCTTCACCCCCTCCTGTTTATTATCTTCACACTGGAAGCTCTGTGCATCTGGATTCTCAATGGAGAGGCTGCCAGGTCAGATGTGAACACGTGTTAGGGGAAGGCATGGCCTCCCTATTTGGTGCCTCTCTGCCTTTGCGGTCATTCCAAGCTCACCCAGGACCATGCTGCTGGATGGCTCTACTGGAATGGCTTAAAAACAGAGCAGGGTAAGGGATTCACCCATGTCAGCTCTCTTTCCCCAAGTTTGTTCCCCAGCTGTCCCTCCATGCACACTTCTTGTGCTGCTCATGGCCAAAAGCTTCACATGATGACACACAAATATCTGCAGCCAAGACTTCTTCACCCTTGTGAACTTCCAAGTGCCTGAAGCACTCTGAGGTTTATAAGAATTCAGTATCAAAACTGAATCTACAGTTTTCTGAGTAGTTTCTTGCCAATGAGATACAATGCTTCTCCAAAAAATATCTGGCATACTTCCTTTTTACTGATTCTAGGAAAAACTTGATGAAGGCAGACAGACTTTCTTCTGGTTATAAATAGCTGAAAGAGTAAGTGATCACTTAACACAATATACAAAAAAACACACCTTAAATTCTGCCTTTTCTTTATAACCATAAGACCTGTTCAGACACCTCTCTGCTGAACCAGTGCAGGCAGCATACATGTAGTTAGGGTTTTTTAATGATTCATATCTGTCTGAACCCTGAAATCACTGTTCGGTCATTATTCAGACCTTACTCAGGGGTAATTCCCATCATATGGTGGTGCTTCTCTGGCAGCTGTTGCAACTCCTGGCTTTGATGCCTTTTCCTTTTGCTTTGTGCCAGCACCCTCCTGTCAGTTAAGTGGCTCCTGGTGTTGGTGCTTCTTCCTTTCTCTTATGTTGAGGAATTGGTTTGAGCTAAAAGCTCAAAAAGCAAAAAGCTTAGAGCTGTGACTCCCCAGAAAGACACTCTGCAACTATTGCTTGTAGTTCAGTGCCTACGAACTGCAGCAACTGGGAGCAGACACAGGGATGCAGAATGCATTCTTGTTTTAATTCTTTTGGCCTTTCAGGTATGGGAAAATGCTTTCCTACAACCTGCCTTGGTGATCATAGAAATACAATGTTTCTGATCCTGAAAGCAGATGATTTTTATTCTGGAAATGGTGGAAGAGGGTATTTCTGCAGCTTTAAAGAAGTCTCTTCCTCCTCTCCTCGCTGTCCCATACTTGCTCCCCTTCTCCTCTCTTTTCACAGAGCTTTTGGGAACTCTGGATGGAACGGCAGCTAACAGCTTTGTTTTGCTTTCTTTGCATAATTTCAGTAGCTTGGGTACAAGCCATTGTATAGGCATTACTAGTCTCATGGTTTGGGCCCTCAAACCAGGACAACTAGTTTGAAGCCTGGTGGCCACAGTCAAGAATGAGGGTAGGAACTGGAAATCTATATTACAGCTTTGCCAGGTGCCCCCAGACAGATTAGACTGTCTCCACATCCCATTTCCATCTTTGAAATGGGTGAAAAATAAGACACATCTATTCCACAAGTCTCTTCTGAAGCTTTATTTACTTCAAATCTTCAGGCAACAAACAATGCATAAAGGCAAAAGTCTTTTTCTGCTTGTTTGCTCTTTGCTGGATTTTGGGAAGAAAATTCCATTTTTTGCCCAGTTTCTGCTGCTCCAAGCCTTGCTGACAGTAGGAAAGCTTTCTCCATAAAGCTGTGTATGCATAGTTGCACTAACAAGAGTATTGCTTTGAGGATAGACACAGCTGTATGACAGCACAGCCGATGGAAGTTTCCTCCAACATTATAAACCTTCATGGCAGAACTGTCCTGGGGTAGCTCCACTGCCCCGCTGGGCCCTAGTGCCATGGTCTTGTTGGGTTAAAATAGAAAATAATAATCACATCTCTTCCATGGCTGTGCTGGTGAAACTTCAAAGGGTAGAGCACAACTTAAACAAGGACTGTGGTATTCTTGCTGTTGTTGTGGCTCTGGGGATTTTGGGTGTGAAGAGGCGTGGTCCCTGATTGACAGGGCATGGCTAGAAAAAGCCTCGTGCAGAGACACAGTTGTACCAGCCAAACCTGTGGATTTTGGTTGTGGGGCAAGGTGGGGCTGAAACAGACTCCACTGGTGAAATCTCAGTTTTAGCAATACCCTCTCTGCATCCCTATTAGAAATGCTTCTGCCGTGCAGTGATCTCAGCCAAGCACTTACAAGACAGAGGTGGCTTTGCTCAGGGGGCTGCAGAAAGGAGTTTTCTGGTACACAAAATGTTTTGTTAGAGGAATGTCTATTTTCTTTCATTTTAATTTTCCCAGTGTGTTGCTGAAAGGCTGCTGTTGTACGTCACAGCTGGGCAGGTAACCATCTGTTAATGAGTAATTCTTGTGTCTGGTATCAGCATTGATCAGGTCCATATTTTGCAATGTAATGTCATCTCCTGAGTGGGCTTGCTTGGAGCTCCTTGTTACTGCTACGCCATGCTTTTAATTAGTTCCTGAAGGGAAAGAGGAGGGAAAGGCCTGGTTGGTAAATTGTCTCTGATCACAAGCAACATTGGATTACCTCCTCTGGAGGTGCTGTTAAACGCTTGCTGAGCACACCAGCGGTCATCTCCAACGCCGGGCACTTGGTGAACTCTTCACTCCCTGTGGTTTGGGGAGAGTACCTCGCTACATGGCATTCCCTTCTACCCACAAAGACATTAATGATTAACAATGATAACAGCTCTGCTTACATAGAAAGCTAAAATACCCCAAAGTTAAGTAAATCACAGTCCCTTGTGAAAGCCCGTTGCTGACTCACTCTCCTGCTTCAGCCCAGCCCTGGAAGTTTCTCTCTGCCAGGCAAAACCTTCGTGAGAGGAGAGCAAAGATGAAAGTCTCTGCTCCTCTCGCTCTTGTCTTGGCTCTGACTCTGAGCAGTGACTGTGTAAGGAAGGTAAGTCCGATTCTTCTGTTTTGGAGTGGTGGATCACCTACGTGCTGGCTGGCAGGACAATGTTGCCTTAGGGTTGGATGAGTGAAGCAGCCGACCAGACGAAAAGAAAGAGTGCTTCAAATGAAAAACAAAAGGGATTTGCTAGATGAAGGCTCGCAGCAGCACTGACTAAGCAGGGGGCCTGCAGGATAGCTGGTCCCATGCAATCTGCATTCAAAGATATTGCTTACATCCTTGCTCTGAAAGAATGGGAGGGGAGGAAGGACCACAAAAATTGAAATACTTTGAAAATGAATCTCAGAAATGTGTTGACACAAGCAGGTACCTGCAGTAGCAGGGAAGGAGAGTGCTACCCCACCAGACTTTACTGCTACCTGGTAACTGAACATTCCAGCTTAGGCAACCATCTCCTACTTTTCAAACCTCTCCCTGTTTTCATGCCATGCCCTTCAGTGTTTTCACTGGGTGCTTTGTGTCTGGTTTTTTTTTGGGTATACAGCACTGCTGAGCATGGCCATGATGGTTTGTTTAAACTCCACCATGGCCTGGCATCCACCAGGGACGAGCAGAGCAGCTAATAGCCTGGACCCCCAGTTATGTGGCTTTATGATTAGCCTTATTTCACTAGCTAGTTCAAAACTAGCTCAGATATGCTTAAATGATGCTATAATCCTAGCTGTCCCCGTGAGGTACAGAAGTATCTCCTTAGATGCTGCAGGTAGGAGCAGAAAGGAATATTCATGGTGCCTGGGAAAAGATCAGCCCTGGCTGAAGCCATTGGAGACTGAGTCAGTGTAAGGTGGAATAACTTTCTTGCTCAGAATTGTTCAAGCCTCCCTATATATCTTAGCAACAGCTTTGTCTTACCCCTTGCTTGTTATATCCCCTATCCAGTTCTGCATTCATGCTGTGCTACTTCCTTGACTGCTTTTGTGATATTTTTATTTTGCTATAGTTCATCTGTCAGCACCTTTGATGGCAGCAGCACTTTATGTGCATTACCATTTTTTATTGTTTTGTGTGGCTTAAAATCAGCTCAGCCTAGTGCTCTTTGCTTGCTGATCAGCAAATCCAAATAAAGTAGAGGTTGATTTTTTAACTAATGCCCTGGGGGATATAGCTAAATGGCAGGAAAAGTCAAATGCTGGGATATTATTTGTAACTGTGAACTGGCCCCGGAATGCTTCCTGCTGAGAGAAATAGGAGATGTATCCTTTGGCAATAGAAAACATAATGGAGCTTTGGCCTTTTTTTGTGCTGTGCTGGGTTTTCCTGGTTTAACAGAGACCTTTCACAAGCCAGTGTTTATCTACCCTCTTTCACCAGACTGTGCCCCAGCAAATCACACACAAAAATGAAGATCTTTGCAGAAGCACTGGGAGAAACACAATTTCAGGGCACCCTGGCAAGCATGTTTGTCTCTATAGGATGGTTCCCAGAGTGAATTTGTGTCTCCAATCCGCATTCTTTTTTTCTCTTTGTAGCACCACAAATCTGGGGCAGGAAGAGGCTCAAAACATGGGCTCACTCCCTCACAAGGTACAAAGTCAAGTCCAATAGGTTTCCTGACAGTGAGAATGCTCTGCCTGTCTGTATCCGTGCTGCGCAAGTCAGTAGTAAGCCTGTCTTTGTTTCAACATGAATAAGGATTATGGAATGGTTATGCCAATATTAATTTCTGAGCAGAGGGGAATTTGGGATTAGCTCAGGAATCTCTGGGTAATTTTCCTTTAGGTGTGGATTAATGGGAAGGTGCTGATAAGATTTTAGTTTGTCTCAGCTGGCGTGGCTTATATTCACTCATAACATGGTGTGTCTGTAGATGTGCAACTTCCTTTATTTTAATCAGAGCCGCGTCTGCCCTGCAACTTTAAAGTACTTAAGCTCTTTGATATGCATAGGTTCAATTTCTGCTGCAGCCCTTGATCTCTCTGTGGGAGAAGAGTTTTAGCCCCATGCAATTTGCTGGGTTGCATTTGTTTTGATGGCACCTAAAATAGTCAGACAACCTGGCTGTGCGCGCGCATTGCAGGCTTCCATTCTTAAGGATTTTGCTGTTAAGGATTACATGAGTCAGACCATTAGTGGTGCCTTTATAGCTTAGTCTTCATCAGACTTTGGAATGCAGTATGTCTTCTGAATAGATGTATTTTCACAACTCCCCTAACTGCTTATAACAGGAGGTATGAAACAGAGAAAGTAAATATCTGAACATTTGATTAATTAGTTCAGACAATGAAAACCAGGCTTGAAAAAGGGATAGAAAAGGGGCTGGCAGTAGCTATTTCACATTGACAGATAAGAGGACAGCTAGGACAGATAGAGTGACCATAAGGCCAACGGGTTAGGGAGGGTTTGGAACACAGGGTTGGGGTATTTTTTCCATTGTGCTAATAACTGGCCTCATCAGTTCTTTGAGCTAATTAATCTGATTTTGTGAGGGCTAACAGATATCGCAAGGGTGTGCAGGAGCCCCAGCCGTGATGGAAAGGGTAAACTCAGGATAAGGAGTAGTTGTACATCGTCACTGAGAAATGGGAATGTGCTGTGCTGCCAGCTTGGTTGTATGCCCCATTTCTCTCCTACGGAAGTGGTTGGCTTTCCATTCACGCTCCTGGCTCTCAGAAGTAATTGCTTTTAGTTTAATGGTTAAATAAGCTCTGACAGTTTTTCATTGTCTTTTTTATCTTCAGTCTCCTTCATTCTCAAGACTCATCTTGAAGGATTTTTTATGTTAGACTCCCACTAGCCTTCCTAGACTCCCACCACCCTTCCTTAGACTCCCATCACTGACGTCGTAAAGATAAAACTTGCCCTTTTCAGACACCAGTCCCATTGATTTCTCCCCACTTGTAAGGAATGTGCTTATCCCAGAGGATAGGTGGTATGATCAAAATTATCTGTCATCTCCCCCAACCTTTAAAACCTTCTTTCTCCTGACTGTTTCTATTTTGGTTTGTACTGTCTGGTGCCTTAATTGTTTTAAACAGATGTTACAATGTGATATGGAGCCTGAAAGGATACTACTTCAGAAATCAACTTAATATGCTATTACAATGCTACATAATTAGAAATGATAATTGCAATTAATGAATATAATTGGCATTTGCTCTACCAGGCATTGCAATATATTTTGAGCTGAAACGATCTGAGATCTTTATTCTACTGCAGAGCCCATTAATCCTTGTTGATTCAGCCATTACGTAGGATTTTAAGCCTCTTATACACTAGAAGTTGCAGAGACACAGAGTCCGAAGTACAGCTGAAAAGCTTGAAGATATCTTTCTTCATAATTTCATATGATAACGTATAATACATATACATGTGGGTTGGATTTCAGATCCATGATGAGGTTTTTATTCTTGTATTTCAGTGTTTACGGAGGATGGAAATCTATGCAAATTTCCTTTCCGGTACGGTGGAAGGTTTTATCACTCATGTTTATCGAATCTACTTTCCCGAAAGAAATGGTAAGTTTACATTGCTCATAAATGAAGACAGCATTCAAATGAAAATGTCATCCTTTCTGTGCTTTAATCCTGTTTTGAGAACAATTAACTTGAGCTTGATGTTGAGCTCAAGCATCAAGGAGAGCCATGCAGTTCTGTTTGGAGTCATGGCCTTTAGGCCAAAACCCATGGTCAGAGGGGAGTGAGTCCAGGCATGAGGTCTCCAGAGCCAGAGAAAGCTCAAGAACTGCAGAAATATTTCCTACTTGGAAATTCATATTGGAATTGCAACTTATACAAATGTCAAGAGCTTGTACAGAAAGGCCAGGACCAATGGAATGACCTGATAGAAACCCTCTGCTGAAGGAGAAAGGAGAAATACAGACACCTGTAAGAGATGATGCTTGGTTACAGAATTGTTTGGTTTGCGTGGGCCATACTTGTGCTGCAGCAGAGACCAAAGGATTTTTGAGGAAATTATTATTATTTTTTTATCCTATACTCTAATTTCTATTCAGGTTGGCACCAGACCCCTTTTGGGCAGTGCAATACTAAGAGGTGAGGTATTACTCCTGCTTGTAGGGTAATGATTTATTCTATTAGAGTGTTTAAGGCCAGTTCTCCTGACTTTGGGCAAAGGTTATTCTTTTACTTATGCAGAAGTTGTTAAATTCAGAAGTTGTTCGTTTTGGGGTAGGGGCAGTCAGGTGGGAACCCTACTGCAGTGAGCACTGAATAAACAAGAATAACTTTGCAGATGAATCTATCTAATGGACAGATACTAACAGGGAACAAAGCAGGGAATATATGGGTACCAGTAATGTGATAATATATGCACAGATGAGCTATGTGAAAAGCACATAATTATATGTTTTCGGGGTGGAGATAATATTTTATAGAACTTATTTTACTCCCCCATGCAGGGCAGAACTCTCATTTTTTATATTGGACTGTCTAATTTTTTCATGATTTGTGTCATCTGTTTTAAGTTTAAATGCTGGCCACACAAAACACATCCCTTCTTACACAAGTAGACGCAGAGCTGCAAGCTAGGAGACCACTTCTGAATTTCCCCAGCATCCATAGATACAATCCAGATAAGAAAAGCCTCAAGGAAACAAGAATTTGAGAATATCTTAACTAAAGGAAGGGAACTGGAATAATTTTGCAGTTTGTGCTGTCTTTGATGAACTGTAGCCACAAAGAGTTTGACCTTTGGACTCACTTAGTTTCATGCAATGCTTAAGATGGATCCTGTTAATACGTGACACTCTGTGTATTTGTATTTAGCCAGTTAGGCCACAGAACTGGAAAAAAATGGAAAAACCTGTGAATGGATGGGGTCCAAGGTTAGACCACACTTTAAAGCCGACCTCGGACAACTTGCTCTTATACTTGCAATTTTTAAAAAGCCATTTACAAGTGGGGAGACAAGGAGGAGGACAGCTGGAGCTGTTTGGTTTTGACAGGCCATTTCACCCCATGGCTGACCTTCTGGCCAGTGTTTACTCTTTGCTAAAAGCAACCTAACATGTGACTTCAGGCACAGAGATGCCGGGAAAAGAGCCCTGAAAGCCACCAGGAAACCTGCTCTGTGCATTTTTGTGTGACTTGGCACTAGCCCATGCTGGATTGATGCTGAGTAACTGATCCCAGGGGACCTGGGAGGCAGCAGGGAAGGGCAAGGCTTGTGTCCTTCCTGCTCTTGCCTGCCTGTGAGCTGCTAGTGAGGATGGAGATGATGAGAGGCTGGATGCTACCTGCCTCTTTGGGGGAAAATGCAAGGAGGCCAGACCAGAAGAGTGCTGGATTACACACTAATGAATCCCTGTCCTTAGTCCTCAAATCATACTTTAAGGCAGGACTACAGGCAGGACTCTGGAGTGTGAGCCGAAGCATGCTCCAATTGGCATTAATGTTATTACATGTTTCCTCATGCTACATGTGACAGATATTGTGTGCTAGCCCATTTTATTAAGGTCAGTAAAAAGATAGTCTTGCAGGAGGCATTTAAGAGCAGTGTCTATCTTAATCAAAAGCTGAACTTTTAATTTATGAAAGCGACCGTGTTGATTAAAAGGGCTAAATGTGGAAGGCAAACAGACATGACCTTGTCTGTTTGTAACATTAAATATTTCAACATAAATCAGAGGCCTGACCACAGAAACCTCTCCCTACTTAATCTGAGAGCAACAAACAAGTTGTATCTTTATAAATATTTATCGAAAACACAGGAAAGAAGACAAAATAATTGCAGTATTCAAATCACAAACTTCCTTTAACAGCATCCTGTATTGCATTTCCCTTTAATTATACTCTCTTTGCCCAGATAAATTCCTATTTAGATGCCTTTTACCAGGTACTAAAGATGTCATGTAAATTTGCCTTTTGTGCTGAAGGGAAAATATTAGCTGGAACTGTTGCTAAAGTTCTTTGGTCCCTTCAGAAAGACAGTGTAGGGACAGACAAAATGGGAGTGCAATGAACACCCATGAGAGCAAATGGGGAAGGTGGTCTCTGAATTACAACTGAGCTGTGGCTGCAGGGGTGCTGCCAGTGCCCTGCCTCTGTGTCCCATGGTGGGATGGGTTCCCTTGAGATCCTGCTGAAGGGGAATGGCGGGAGCAGATCTTGGCTCAGATTTTGGCTGTGACTGGGAAGGTGTTGACTCATACCCTGGAGAAAGAAGCCTTATCCTGTGCTCGAGTGCTGGGTGTGCGGGTCCTGGTTGTGCCAGGTTGCAAGGGTAGGCTTAGGTCTGGATAGAAAGGGCACAATCTTACCATCTTCTGTGGAAACAGAACGATTTGATACTTTGGCCACAGATTAAAGACAGTGCAGAAGAGGGTTTTGTCCAAGATTACAAGATGGAGAGTTTGTGCCAGTCCTGGAAAGGACAAGGACACGTGGGGTGAACCAGAAGAAACCAAGCATCAGGCTCTGGACTTTGTTGGTGGTGGTTGCTCTGGTATTGTCAGGTAAAGTTTAGCCATCTCTTGTGGTCAGGACAACCCCAAAAAAGGTCTTAGGGAACCTCCAGGCCTTAAACATGGTGACAGCACCAGGCATGATGGCAGAGCTCTTTCCTTACACCAGTCTGACTCCGGCCTGAGGCTTTGCTTGTTCTGCAAAACATCCTATTACTAAGGCTCCCAATGCACCTGATGAGTAAAACAGCCCACTTTCCATTTATCCCACCTACCAGTCAGGCCTCATCTGCAACACACCATTTTGTTGTCCATTGCCATGTTGTTTACCACACATGCATTTAAAATGTTGTTTAAATCAAGCCCTAGTAGCGAACTTTTCTGGTGTAATTAATTCAATATCCGTGTCTTTAAAATTTCACTTTATTAACAATTTTATGTGATGGTCTGATGTAGAGAAATTAGTTATATATTTAGAGAGTGGGCCTATTTACAAGTAGACCGAAGAAATAATAAGCCTGCTTGGTTGGTGTGGCTGCTGGAGGTAATATCCTGTGAGACCGAATAGTCATAGTATTTTTGGTAAGACTCTCAGCAAAGAAGAGCTTTTTAAAAGAAAAGGAGGGAGACTAGTGAAGTAGCTTTGAGGATGTGCTGAGTTTCTCTCAGACAGTGACAGGTACGTGGCAGAAAATAGAAAAGGATTATATGAATGTGCAAGAAGCCTGGTACTGAGAAGGCAGCCTGGCATCACAGGGGAGGACCAACACCATCGTAGTCACTACAAGGTGACAGGGAAGAAGGGGATTAGTTGTGAAGAGCATTGGATGGGAGGACTGGTGGGTTGTGGAAAGCTGGTGGAAGAAGCCTCTGTCAGGGTGTTTGGTAACAAAAAATATTTAAGAAGGAAAAAATCGAGTTTCCTTTTCCTTAGAACTTGGCTGCTGCTGGACAGACTCCAGAGAGTATTAACTAACATATAAATTGTTTTCTTTCCCATAATGGTCAGAGTTTGTTTGGATTCTTTAGGTGTATACAGGGCCTTTTCCATGTGCCTCTTCTGTGCTGCCCGGTCTCTAAATCTGTAATTACGTGAGAAAAGTTAGAAAAGTTTGGATTCTCCTTCCCCATCATGGCTGGACACACTACTGTTCAGTCAGAGATGGTTTTGCCAACAATGACACAAATCAGTGCACCACCAAGAACCACTTTTAACTTACTCCTCACCTTAATCCTCATGCATAATAAACCATCCTTTAAAAAAACGCGATCCACTTCCCACTGAGGGAGCCCAGAGAAATTTCCATTAATTCCCAGCAGAGTCGCACAGACCTTAACGCCTGTGAGAAAGCAGTCTCTTTAAGGTGTCAAGTCAATTAGCACTAGACTAGTGAGCGCCTTTCTTTTTATGCACCTTGTATAATTGAGGTCACCAAACTTAATATGCGTGGGCTATTCAGATGCTCCATAGGAACTAAAGCCTTTTAAATACCACATAGCATCTAATTAAGCAGCAAAGTAGGGCAGTGAAAATGGTAGACATGCTCTACAATAAAATTTCATCTAGCTTGTGACGTCCTAGGGTGAAAAAATATTTTTTAACACAACTGATAAAGTTGTTGACTTATACTAACTGGTATACTGTGTTAACACAAGGTATGACAGAAAGACACGTAATAAAAATAGATTATCAGGGATGTTAAATAACACAAACTCCTATTTCTTCCAGTGCCATGTACCCATTCGTTTCCCTGCGTAGTGGCAGCTGATATTTATTATACTGCATTAGAACTAGTTGGAGAAGATGTTTTGGTGGACGGCGCGTTGGGACACAACGTGGGCCTCCAAGGTTCAGCCTCAGTTCAGTCACACACTCCCTGTGTGGCCTGGGGAAGCCTATAAGTCTGCCCCTGCAAATGGAGAATAGCGGCTTAATGCTCCTTGGAGTACTACGAGTCTTGGAGATAACAGACTGGTGAGGGCAAGGAAAGTGTGCGGACAGAGCTGTCGGAGTTTGCCTCAGTAGGATTCCCACGGGCGGCGTTGCATGCAGGATTCAGCCCGCTGCTCTCAAAAAGACGTTTTATCCGTGTATTTGGAAATCACCCTTGTGTCAGCTATTTCCTCATTTCGTCTGGCGAGTCAAAAAATAGACACACGTTAAAGGAACTGAACGCAAAATACAGTTGCTGCTGAAAGCCAAAAAAAAGTCCCTCTGTGGACAGTCTCCTGCCTCCACAGATTATTAAAGTAACTGACGGGCTTAAAAAAATAGTTTGGGTCCTGTTTCGCTTGTTCTGTAATGAATAAAGGAGACATAATTTATTTGCTTTGGTTTTGGTTTTTATTTCTGTCTTTCGTTTTCTAATCTTAGAAATAGAAAGAAGGTTGGGTTTTTCTGGAGGATTCACTGGAATTCTCAGGTCCTGCTCCCACATCTTATTCTTAGTCTGTATTTTGTTTGAGAGAAATGGTGCAGACCATCTTAAACAACAAGAACTAAAAGCATATTTTTCCTCTGGTGTTAAGAGATCTTGAACAAAACATGCTAATTAGGTAAAAAAAGTATGAATTTACCCAAGAATAAAGTTCCATATTGATTCAGTGCAAGCATCCAGGTTGTTAAAAAATTGCACTAACCCGCACCTTTAATTCTTTTCAGGTGTTCAACAACACATAACTATGACCGGGACAGGAGATGGGGACACTGTGTTTTGTTGTCTGAAGACCACTCAGGTAAGGTGAGCTGTTGCTGAGTTGCTCCAGATACATGGCTCCTACTTTACCACCTGCAGTAAGGAGGGATGGTGTCTTCAGTGATGCTTTTATTTGGTGTACGCAGAAGAAGCCTTCACATTAGCTGTCTCTGTGACTCTGAATAACCATAGCATTGGACTGTGAATATCACACAGTCTTTAATTCACTCTCTGTTGACTAAGAAAGTCATAGAGAGAAATGATGGTAATGCCAACATGGAAATCTGAACTGCTGGAGCTGAGGAAAGAAGTGATTGTCTTCTCCTCCCTCATGGCTTGGATGTGCTGTTTATTTTTTCCCTTACTTAACCAGCTACATTTTCCTTCTCTTTGACCAGCTAATTTTTTAGAAGGTACAGAAACATTTCATGCCCTGTACAACACACAACCATCACTTCCAGCTGTCCCTCCTTGAGATCTCAGGGTAAAGAGCAGACCTTCAAAACCAGACTTCCTTGGGCTTTGGGCTGTGTCAGAGAATACAAGAGGACGGATGCATTCATTGCAAGAGTACTGAGGGATAACGATAGGGTTACTTAGTTGAGCAGGGCTATGGCTTCATGTGGTCACCACACTCCAATGCTAATTACCTCATTGTGAAAGTCTGTCTAAAATGGGAAGCCAAGGTCTGTGGCAAACTCTCCTTTCTGTGTCAGTTGCTTTAATTGACACACTGGTGAAAGCATCATTTCCCAAGCAGTTCGGTGGAGAACATGCATCCCTGTCTTCAGCAGTACCTTGATGGTTGGCTCTTGCTTGTCTCTGTGTCCTTAACTTCATATTTCATGAGCTGGGTGCTGGGGATTCTCATTTTATAAGGAACACATGTATCTAATTCTCAATTTATATGACAGACCAGCGCTGAAAAATCAGGTATTGCACTGATCAGACTCAATGCTCCTGAGGTTTTTTTTGGATCTATATCTAAATGCTGGTCATGTTCCTCTTTTCTCCTTCACACTACTTTCAAATGTGACCTGTCTTGTTTAGTCTGCGGAATATGACCACGTGCCCTTAGATGTTTGCTTCCCACTTTCCAACAAAGGGTATTTTCCACCATCTCCTTGCAGGATGTCATGTCATGAGACCCATTGCCAAGTTGATTACAATCTACCAGAGTGCTTGAAAAGCCAACGTTAGCTGAATCATGCTGAGAGTCTAAAATTAAGCAGTGTATAGCATCATCATTTTAAATTTAACAACTTTAAATTTTAATTTTCCAGCCTGGCTTTAAAACGGACTAACAGTAGATCAGAGACAAATGACCTAAGCCCAAAACAAGCAGCAATGCATGTGCCTTTGTAATGCAAGTATGTCAGACATGAATGTAGACTTTATAGACAGTTCATGCTTACAAGAGTCAGGTTATGAGGGCTGCAGTTATTCATGAGTGACCTCCCAGAGCTTAAAATGTCGGAAGTGGTAACTCATGATTGCTTTAATCCTCCATTGAAACCCTGACTGTCAGCCGTGGTGGCTGGCTGATTCAAGGAAGCTTTTCCAGTAGCTGAAGAAGGAGCTCTCGAAGCCTAGTGTTGCATTTCTGGGGGTGCCTTGTGTCACCTCTGTCCCTACCTCAGCCCATTGCCATGGCCCTGCCAGCCCCACATGCAGCCATCTCTGCAGTGAGCTGGCTGTCCAAAAGCCTTTTTGGGCTTTCTGGCTCATTTTTGCCTGTTATCCACCACAGCACTGGAGAGGGTGGTTTGCAACAGGAAAGCCACCTTGTCTGTCTGCCCCTTGCCAAAGGGTATTGCTGTCAATATACCCTACCACCAGTGAGGGCTTGCCCTGGCTCCTTTTTTTTTTTTTCCACTCCAGAAAAAAAGAATTAGAAGTGTAAGAGAGAAAAGGAAAAAGAAAACAGGATGGGGTAGCTGGAGGAGACCACTGCTGGATGTTGCGATGAAAAGACTATCTCTGAAAGCATTAAGAATTTTGTAATATAAAATAAAAGTGTCTTTAGCTGTTCATTTATTTATAAACATAAGTCTACTTTTTTTTTAAGTAGCAGGCACTGTGTTTGGACTTGGAAAATTCTTAACAGATCACCAGTCATAGCTTAGAGAGAAAAGGTTTATAGTGAGGTTGAAAGGAAGAAGCAGCATAATGGCTGAGGGGAATTTCAAGCAAACAGGAGGAAAGTTAGTCTGCTGAGGGAGACAGCTAGGGAGAAAGAAGCAGTCAAACTGAATAATGTAGATATTTGAAGTGTGGAAAACGTATGATTTTTTTGTTAAAAAATCCACTAAAATATTAAATCTTTGGGGGAATCTCAACCACTTTATAGACACTTGAAAAACAAGAAAAAATGAAATTTTTGGGAGAGAGAGTATCCTTTGGCCATAAAAGATTGGTGAGGAATGTGTGAACTGGGATGCTGAAGGAGCTGCTTGAAAGCGAAAGCTGAAGCATGAACTCTCTCTGGGCCAAGAATACCATGTGTACACAGGGAGTCGACTTGAAACCATTGAAACTGCTTACAAATTAGTGTTAAGCAAGTGTTGGAGGCATTGGTCCAGAAAAATACATCTGCCAATCTCAAGAAAAAGTTTAATCAAAAAGTATTTAGCTTCAGGACGAAGCAAAGCTTAGGTATGAAGTCTCTGCCAGAGGGAGATGTTAGTACTGCGCTGTACAGAGCCAGAGCTCACCATAACAGTACCCAAGGTGCTGGTTCAAACCCCTTCTGAAATCACTTTATCACTGCCTTCAGGTTTCCAGAGGATCCTCCACTCCTGCCAAGGAGATCTCCATGGAGACCATGTGTAGTATCTGCCTGATGTGACCCCTTCATACACATGGGCCAACTGGGTTGTGAATGTGTAGTTTGTATGTATGTATGCATGTACACATACATGCATAGAAGTGGAACTAATGGGTCTTCCAGTCCCTGGGTAGCCTCTTAGGACTACTCCTATGAATGTCTGGAGATCTTGGAGAAATGGCCAAAACCCTGAGGAATTCCAGACTTGGGAGAAAAATGCCAGACTGAGGTTTTTTAAGAGACATTTGGACTGATATGGAAAGAAGAAGTGGAGTGATGTGGGCTGTGCAAATAGGAGGAAGAGGCACCATCCCAGGAGGGACTCTGGGGAAGAGTAGTCCCAGTTCTGGGAAAGGTGGGTGGCAGAAACAGAAAGTTTTTCACAGAATCACAGAATCTTCTAGGTTGGAAGGGACCTTAAAGATCATCTTGTCCAACCGTCAACCTAACTTTGACAAAAACAGACACCCGCACAACAAGCAAACAAAAGGAAGATATGGTTAGAAAGGCGACACAAGGCTACTGCTCATTCAGCAGAGCCTCAGAAGGGTGAAGTCAAGGTGATTGCTAGCAAGCACGGAGTATTTTTTCTGTGAGCGTGGGGAGATACTGCTGGGTGGCTTTAGATATTGGCTGAGCTTTCAGGGATTTGGCGCTCCCCAGTCGATGGTTAGTTAATGGGGGGCAGGATTCCCGGCAGGGAACTGTGATGTGTCCACACGCTTATGAGTAGAAGTTTTTCCTGAACTCCATGGGAGGTGGGGAGGAATGCAGAGTAACCTGGCAAAATCAGGCTCAAGTGGCGGGTGGCATGCAGTGAGAAACTCTGATTCAGAATGAAATGAAGGACAGGAAGTGCTCTCTGTAGATTTAATGAAGGCATAAAAAATGTCTTTTTGAGTGCCACCATACCAGAAAATGGCAAGGAGATCAAGTCATGGTTTGGAAGTGATGGGAGTAGGAAATACGGGATTTTCGTTTGAGGAAACATGACACCACTAGAAATTTCATAACTATCAAACGGCAGGAGCAGTAGGAACGTCACTGCCTTTACTTGCTTTCCCTTGATGTTATCCTGAAGTGAAACTGCCAGGGAATACACCCATGCCTGCTATCTGATACCAATTACACCACTCTATTCTGAAGTAAATATTTTGAGTTGTGCAGGAGAACCTTCACATTTACACTACTGTAGCAAAGCTCAGCCTTTTGTGTTTAGCTTCAGCCCTGTATGTGTGTGCCTGTGTTTCTATATGTTGAATCCCATGGTTAGGACCACACACACTAGCTCAAGGAGCACCTGGATTGAGTAACTCTACATTTGCCCTCATGGAGTTTGACTAGTGTTAAAAAAAAAAAAAGAGGGTTTAAATGAAGACAAGCTGTTGGGCCAGCTTTGCAACAGGGTGTAAGACCTGATGTTCGTTGACTTCAGGGGGGAGACACACCCCCTCAACACCACCTGAAGTCAGGAACAAGGGCTGGCCAGCAAGGCTCTAACACCTTTTGCATTATACATTGCCAGGTAAAGCTTCCATCGCAGGGATGAGAAAGTTGTCCTGGAACACCCCCCTCCTCTCCCACCCTGTTTTCCCATGATTTAGAAAATTCCTTAAAAAGCAGAGCTACATTAGACTGGTCCAGTTTGATCTCGCTCGGCCTGATTTAGAATCATAGAATCATAGAACGGTTTGGGTTGGAAGGGACCTCAAAGATCATCGAGTTCCAACCCCCCTGCCATGGGCAGTGACACCTCCCACTAGAGCAGGTTGCTCAAAGCCCCATCCAGCCTGGCCTTGAACACTTTCAGGGATGGGGCAGCCACAACTTCCCTGGGCAACCTGTTCCAGTGCCTCACCACCCTCATAGTGAAGAATTTCTTCCTGAGATCTAATCTGAATCTTTTTTCTTCCAATTTAAAACCGTTTCCCCTTGTCCTATCGTTACACCTCCTGGGAAAGGGTCCCTCCCCACCTCTTCTATAGGCCCCTTTCAGGTATTGAAAGGCCGCTATAAGGTCTCCCCGGAGCCTTCTCTTCTCCAGGCTGAACAATCCCAGCTCCCTCAGCCTGGGATGAGGCATTTACTTGGATGTGCCCTTGTTTTGCCTCGAAGTTTTTTCCTTTGTTCCAGCTGTTCCATTCGTGTTTGTCCATATCCAAAAAATCCATAGCAAATTCCTCTGTGGAGGGCTGTCCTTTGTGTAACTGGCAAGGGGGATGCCTGGTGCCGGTCAGTGATGCTGGGATGCGGTGATGCGGGCAGAGGCAGAGCTGCAGCCTTCCCTCCCCAGTGTAAAGGCACAGCTCCATCTTGTGGGCATTCCTCCGTCTCCTTCCTCGCCACACTGCCAGCCCTGGCGACTTCACACGCCTGACTGGACCTACCACCTCTGGACAAGTTGCTCTGGAGGAGAAGGTCCAGCGCAGTGATTTGCTACACATCTTTTAAAAGCTGGATAAATATAGGTGCTATACAGCTGGACACAAAATCAATGTAAATCGGCTGGGTAAACATTGTTTTAGATTACTAGGTGTTATTGAAACTGCAGTGCAATCAAAATGGTTCGTGTCACCAAGCCGACGTGTAGCACAACAAAGCACGGCTTATCTGGCACCTATTAACATCATCTTCTTATGTGGCCTGTCTAGATCACTGTGCAAACAACCCTTGCCAAAACGGAGGGACCTGTTCTCTTGCTCATGGCTACAGGATGTACCACTGTACCTGTCCCGAGGAATTCACGGGCCAGAACTGTCAGATGAGTAAGTATCTCCTTCCGCGGGTGTTGCAACATGAAATACAAGCAGTAAGTAGAGTTCATTAATGTTTGCTTAATGAAAAGGTAGTGCTGTTGTGATGGGAGAAAGCACTGCAGCATGAATGTTTGTGTAGGCAGATTTCCAAATGGTTCTGACAGACAATCCATTACTGACAGGACAGCTGAAAATAGCTTGATTATGCAGTTATAAATCCAAGCATGCTCTGAGCCAGTGAGGTATTAAGATATGGGAAACACAAAGAGCCTCTTCCTCTCCCTGTGCTGTTTTTAAGATTTAAATATCACTTATATGGTTGGAAATGACTAATATAATCCAGTAGGCAGGGCTGGGAGACATGAAAGAACAATAAAATTTCAGGTGACGCCTTATCCCTTATGTATATGCACACATGGGTCCATTGCAGCTTTTAGTGTGATGTCAACTTAATACCTGGGCAGCTGGTCCACCTTCAGGGGGGGCATTCCCAAAGGAAGAGAGTCCGGCCAAAAAGTTTTGTTTGGTTTATTTTTCCAGTTTTATGGTGGTGTTACTCCCAATTTACTGCACATCAAGTGAGGGATTAGGATTTTACACTGAGGGTTTTCAGTTGTGCTTGCTTTTCCCTGCAGCTCTAGACTTCTCTCCCAACATAAGCACAGAAGCCTCTTTCAGTCCTGGAGCTCCGCCGTCTCCAGCACAGCCCATCATCTGTGGAGGACACAGTAAACTGGGACAGACACAAGTGCATACCACTGATTTTATTTTTTGTGTTTGCTGTGTGACCTTTTGGAAGATCTTAAGTAATGGTGATAGTGTCATGCTCACAGGGCTTTAGGAGGAAGCCACCACTGCCTCCAGGTCCTTGGAGCTGCTGCTACAGTGGCTTAGTGCCTTCACACTGTGGTGTGGCTTGGCTTGCTTGAGAATCACCAACTGTCAACAGGCATATGTCTGCTCAACAGGAAAAAAGAGATGAGCAGGGAACGATGGAGACTGTGGTCCCATTCCTCGCAAGAAATAACCTCTGAAAGCTTGTGTTGTTTTTTCAACTGTCTTTTAGAGAAATGTTTTGACGACAGTCTCTACGAGTTCTTTGATGTGGGCGTGAGCTGGTCAAGAGTCCAACAAGGAGCTGTGGAGCAGTGCACGTGTGTGAACGGCCAGACCGAGTGCGAGCGTGTCGAATACAGAAGTAAGGCACTATTTGGTATTACAGCTGTTGGCCTGCATGGAGGGGGAATAGAGGACAGTAAGGGTACCAAAGCACGTTATACACAGTAATGCTGCTCTCCCAGCTCATGTACCCTCCCCTTACCTTGAGTAATAACGTAGCCGGAGTAGTAGTGCTGACCCAGGAAATCACTTCAATCTGTCCACCTTTATTTGAAGAAGCAATTATATGCATTAAGCTGAATTTTAGGGACACAGCTCAGTGCTTTCTTCACCAGGGATGCAACCCTGGACTGCAGCATGTGAGAATATGCAAGAGATTTTACAGTAGATGTGGTAAAATTTCTGACCTTGTGAGTTGTCTTACAGAACCGTAACATTCCTGAGAAGCACACCCTCCTCTACTCTTCCCCTGCACACCTACAATCGCTTTGTGTTGCTGTTTCACACCTGAGATTTTTTCCCAAGCCTATCCCACTCTTAGGTTGCCAGTGTGTAAACTCTACCTGCCTCCAGGATCCCATTTGCCTGCATTGACCCCAGAGTCCCCATGATTTTTGGCTTGACACACTCATTCTCAGCTGGGGTGGTGCTTCCTGAGTTTTGAAGCCTCCTCCTTGTTTTGGGACTCCCAGGTGGCCGACACAGCTGGCCAGCTAGCTGCAGGGCATGTCCTTGGCATTGTCACTTATCTGGTGAAGCCATCACAGCACCTCCCTGTTGGAAGAAGAGATGGTGGGAAGCAAAACATATACCACACCTATATATATGGTCTGGTATCCTGGTATTCAGTTATTCAGCCTGGCTGACTTCCACCCTGCCCAGACTCCCAAGTAACTTACAGTACTGAGTAAAAGAGCACGTTGAAATAGGTAGATGCTTTTATTCCTACCTTACAGAACTGGAAACTAAAGCATGGAGAGAATTGGTGGCTTTCTAGGACGTTGGGAGTCCATGGGAGAGTTGGGAAATTTGATAGGACTTAATACTTCCCAGTCACAGATCCTAATTATTTAACTGAGCTCCCTGCTAGATACATTATTATAAATTTTAATGCAGCTCAGTGGCAAACTTGGAATTGGCAGAACCCTCTGTACAGAAAGAGATGCTAATGCCACCACCATCCTCACTAGTAATAATAATCACCACCCCCATTTTACCCATTGTTCATTGGTAAGATTTTTCAATAGCTAGGCTGACATTATCCAATAAAAAGTAAAAACAATGAGACAGACCTCAGTAGGCAGAAATCAGCAGTTTCCTTTTCATCAAGTTATAACAAAGTGTAGGTCTGAGACGAGTGAAAAAGGAAAAACTTCCCCAAAATTTATATGCCTGGAGAAGGTGTACTAATGTAAGTTAAGATGGACAAATTCTCTTGAATAGTTTGGTTTGATTCTTGGTTTCTACTTGCAGGTTGTGTTCATGACCCTTGCCTGAATGGTGGAGAATGTAAAATGGTTACCTTCAGTGGGAAAATAGTATGTGATTGCAAAGGAAATTATGCAGGAAAGTATTGCAATATTGGTAAGTATAACAACCTACAGGTGGGCAGAGAATTTGGAATTTTCATCCGGGTTTGGAGCTGGTGTTTTTTGCCTCTGTGTTGTATTCTGTCTTTGCAGACATTTCTTGTAATAACTGAAGAGTCACACAGAACAAGTGTTTAATGTGTTCCTCCATGTAAAACATAACACAGTCTTCACTACCAAGACCCTGATTCTAAAAATATTTGTTCTTGTCTGTAACTCCATGGAAAAATAAGCACAGAAATCTTAATCCCATGCCCATAGAAATAGCTCATGCTTCCATTTTGCAGGATCAGTCACAGAATTGTACCTTAGTGAAACGCTTCCCCACATACCCATGCATTTAATAAATAAAGCAGCAATTTATGCTCTGACAAAATCTAGCAGCTCGTTGTATTTGGTAGCACTAGATTATTGTGGGAAGTAGACAAAGATGAAACGCAGACCCTTTGTTTGGGTTACCTCATACTTTAAATTAGTAGCATGCTTAGCCCAGTAGAGCTTACCTAGAAGTCCTTTCTGGCACTGGTGGAAAACAACCATGTTTTGGTCCCTATGTGTTAGTTTGTGTTGCTTCCTATTAGATACTACATAGTTTTTGATATAATTTTCCTTCAGAAGATTTAACATTTCTCACTGCAGGGGTTAAATCTGCTTGTAAATCTTACCTGCGTGCTAAATTCTCAAGTTCTATCAGTGGCTATTTTTCAAATACAGCAGGTTTCAGGCATAAATTATAGTAGATCTTCAGTTATACCAGCCTGTGATCCCATCAGTTCACTGGCTATATCTTTCTGACTACGTGAATGCCAGGGTTCATCAAAATTGAAGACAAGACTCCTGGTAGCTATGGTGGGCACCTAGTTGGTCTAAATGGGTGGTGGGGTAAAAAAATGTGGTAATGAACACTGGAATTGGTATCTGGTGGTTTTTGGGTTTTTTTTTGTTATTCTGGTTGTTAACAAATGGTCCAGCCATCTAATTTAAGATGGGAAAAAAAACCTCACCAAAGATTTGAGAGACCAGCAATAGAGTTGGAATAACAAATGCAAGGAATGAACTGGCAAATGGAATGGTGTGTGAACTGTTCCTCAACCTCCACTCACCAGGTACCCAATGAATCGTGCAAAATAGGCTTATGATTCTTTTAGTCCCTGCTAAGGAGCAACACTGCAGCTCTGGGTATTTTTGTCCTTCAGCTGCCCTAGTGAGATTTGTCCCAGGCTTTGCGGGTGCTGCCGCCGTGATTTGGGCAAGGGGCTGCACGTGTGCACTGCACGTGTGACCTGGTGTCCCGGCGCTGCTCCTCTCCCAATAAAACTGCATTTCAGATTCCTGTTTCATTATCAGCTTCCCCTGCCCAAAGCGGCAACGCTGCGCGTAAACATCCACGCGGCACGGCCTGGATTATAAATATCAGGATGACAGTGTTATAGCTGTAATACTGGTTTCTGTCTGACTAGTTTAGAACAAGAAATAAGCAGGTGCTCTTTGATTACTTGAAAATAATAAAGCAAACATTTGGTTTGCTAAACAAATGCCTTTAGATGCTTACAATCCATCTGCGTTCGGCTGCCTCACACCCCCACACAAACCGGGAAGCAAAGGATTGTGTTTATGTGTCAGGGCCTTGCAAACAAGCTTAAAAATGAAAAAATACCCTCTTTGCCAGGATTTAGTCATTCTGAATTAATGCAAATAAATGAGTGCTGGGGTCTATAGACCTGGTAATGCGATTACACGAGTGCAATGGCATTCTGGAGTGAAAGCACTGGGTGCTTGTGCTATCAGAGCACAACTGATTTTTAAATATACGTTGGGTTAATTTTTTTCTTCAACCCTTCAATTTAATGCTGTGAGCACAGCTGGATTTTTTTCTATGTTTTCCTTTTTTATTGTCTTGTATATTTTCCCTTGTCTAATAGGACTGAATTGTGAGGTTACCCTTTAGACATAAGAGCTCATGGTTATAATGTTTGATTCAGAGAAAGTTACAGTGTCTCCAAAATTTGTTTGACTCTACATTATTAATTTATGGAGGCAGCCTTAAACCCAAGTTGTGACACAAAATTTTTTTATTTTTTTTTTTTAAATAAAACAATCAATTTAATTAATAGTAAGTACACCAAAATGTTATTAGGCTATGATGTGTTTGAGGTCTCTCTGGTGTCCTCTGCCCTTGACCTCTACCAAGAATAACCACTTTTCAGATGTTTCTAATGGAAAACCAGCTAATTTATCTTGATGTTACACTCACAAATATTAATAAACAAAGCGCCATCCTAGGTCAGATCACAAGTTTAAGTACTACTGTGACTTGAGCACTGGCAAAGTAGAGGATGACCCAGGAGTCATGTAAGTAGCAGGAAATTACTGAGAAATGCTTCTCCTGGTTGAGGATTTTCTGAGCAGGCGGCTGGACCACCAGGTTTGATAGACCTTTAGCTGTTTAACATGAATTTGTCTAAAGTTTTTTGAACTCCTTTATGCTTTTGACTTTCACAGCATGCCATGTCAAGAAGTTCCAGAATTTAAAAAGATGTGATGAGAAGCAGTCTTTTCTATTGTTAGCTTAAAACCTACTGCCTGGTAATTTCATTTCCCCCCTTTGAACAGTGAGTAACAGAGAATAATAATAAATTTTGTGATTTTATAGATACCTATTTATCTGTCCATTAGTTGTTTCTTTTTTTGGACTGCGAGGTCCCTGTCAGTACTCAAAAATAATCTCTTCACAGATATTAAAATTCTCTTGCAAACAATCATTATATAGATATATATTGCTAAGCCATTATCATAATGACCATGTAGCTACTGGCAAATTACCAGCTGACAAAAAAAATATGGGAGGTGATAAACGTGACATAAGATATATCTATAACAAAGGAGTTTGATATATAAAAGACAGTTTCTAATATAGATTTCTGTTCTTTGTGGTAATACATTCTTTTCTAGCCCTTAAAGAAGAAACCTTCAGTTCTAAAGAAAGAATGTCCATTTTAAAAAATGTTCTAAAACAGTTCATATGCATAAAATTTCAGTGAAGTATAATTTCAAAGGAAATTAGATACATCACCAACAAATCCCTCCATAAACAGATGCCATTTAAAATTGTTCAAGGATCCATTTTTTAATTACGTTTATATTGTCATAATTGCCCTTAAATATGCACTTATTTTCAGAAATAAGGATTTTGTATTAAAAGAGTAGCTGTGTTCACTTTGGAGACAGAGTTCTTGCTGAGAGAGCTCTGAATCCAGGCATTAGGTGAAGACTCTTAATTATCCAACCATGAGTAACAATAGTTGTTTTATTATACAGAGAAAGTCAAAAAAAGGGCCCAGACCCAGCCACTTTGGCAGTGAGAAATATGAGGAAGAAATGAAACCTGAGAAGGACGTGAGCATGATATTTTATCTCTAGCCCAAATTGGTATAGGGAGTGGAGAGTGAATTTTTGGGAAGATGTTTAACTTCAGAAATACTTAGTTTAATTGGAGGTGGTAACTTATGACGAACAGTTATAAACATGTAATTGTAAAATTACTTTGACATTTCATGCTTCTTTCAACAGATAGGAGACATGGTAGAGATGTTGGGTAAATACAGAAGGGGACACAGCTAAAAAAAGAGGGTTGTTAGTAAATTTGAGGATCTTATTTGTATTTTTAGGTTTATTCTTGATTTATTGGAGGGAATGTTAGTGGGGTAACTTTATTCTGTTTAATTAGTTGCCAAGACTATTCCTGAAACATTTAGTCTCTATAGGCAGCTTTGTTGTGTTACTGTTGATCAGAGAAATAGCTGGTAGTCATAGATGAATAACCGATGTGGGGTTTAGGAATATGTATTTCAATGGTTTCTTGGCTTTCAACTGGATTTTTAGGGTCACCAATTACCTTAATCATTGGGCAGTACATTGTAGCAATAATGTGTTTGCTAGTATTTTGATCATGATGAAGTATGAAGTTGTTGAAGGTATTTTTGAAATCCCTTTATGTTTTCTAGTGGTTGTTTTTTTTTTTTTTTTTCCTGGTTAGGCTATGGGTAATGGAAATACAGGGGTACCATAGCTTTAAAGAAAGTATGAGTTGGAATGTTAATTACAGAAGGCTTATGGTTATATAAGGAGATGTGTTGTTGTATGTCAGAAGTAGGTTGAAAATTTTTAGAAAAGGAAGATGACAGAATACCTGAATATATAATTATATGCAGGAAGAAAAACACTATTGGCCACATCTTTGGGGGTTAAACTGGGGGAGTCTGAGGTAATAAAAGAAGTAAAAAAGACATCAAACCCACCGTTTTAGTGGTTGTTTTACTGAAATAGGGTGTTTGCAGTTTTCTACTAAAAAAAGTACTTTAGTAAAGGAAATTCAGCTCTGAAGGCTGAAGGGAAAGTTTAAAATCTTTTTCTTCTGAAGAAGACCGTAAGAGGAAGATAAAGAATCTAACCTTTTCAGTTATGTTTACCAATGTTATCTATAATCCACCAGAATGGTTTTGGATTAGTGTTTAATTTTTTATTTGGGATTAGTAATAAATCTAGGATGAAAAAGAATAAGTTTAATATTCCTCCTGGTTGTGGAAGAATGGATGGAAAAGTAGATAAGAAAGCATTGTTATGATTTGATATAGCTTGGCAAGGTGATTATGTTTTTTGCAGGGGTACAGTTTTATGGATCCACTGGGAGGTTGCATGAGGGTAGGGAAAAGGTTAATAAGGCAAGAATAATGAAGAGAATGCCTAAGGCACCAGTGCAGAATTAGTAATGATAGGTTGGATTTTTATCAAAATTTTAGTTATTTCAAATTGCTGGAGTTACATGGAATAAAAGTAGGTCTAGTAGACTATTGCCTGCAATGATAAATGGTAGGAGAGACTGGAAGATGAAGAAGTGAGAGAACATGGCATTATCAACTAACAGCTTGCATCTGGAGAGGATCCAGAGGAGGGCCACAAAGATGATCAAAGGACTGGGAAGCCTGTCCTATGAGG